TGGCGTTTCAGTTATAAAATGAGATGATGTCTATAAAGTGCCTGGCATTTAGTACACACTCAAATGTTCATTCTTTTCCTATATTTGACCTCATTTAACATTAATAAGCACATAAAATTTAATTCAGATAAAAATGGATTGGTCATTATTTTTCTTTTTTCTTAGTGCATTAGTACATGAACTGGGAATGTACAAAAGATAGACATCTTCAGTGTACTATCTTTAAAGTACTGAATATTCAAAATAAAGTCCCTTAATGTGCTATGTGTTCAAAATCTGAATAAAATCATAGTCTACTAATTTGACCATTTGTGAAAAACTTATTTTAAAAGTATAATGCATATACTTATACATAAGCCTTATACTTAAAACTAAAACATATGTTTTTCACCAACTGCTTATTTTTAATACTTAAGACTCTTTAAAAACTTTTCTGAACTTTGAAATAAAATTTCATAAAATAAAACTGAAAATAAAAGCTACTAGAGTTCCCTTTTGTTAGAGTTTTCCTGAATAGAAACCAAATTAAACAAAATATTTTAATAAAAAAATTCCTTATTAATTCAAAGCAATTGAACTCAAGGTTACTCTTATATAACTAAAATTTGAAATTTTAGAATATTTTATAAGAACATTTTTGTACTCAAAAGTTCACATATACTAATTCGAACAAAGACATTATTGCCCAGGCTAAGAATTGTTGAATCTGCTTTAAAGAATATATGATTAACTTAAAATTAACACGTTGTGAATATACAAATAGTATGCTAAACCCATTTTAGAAAACGTGAACTACTTTTACATAAGTAGGTTAAACATTCTTCTGCAACTTACTGATATTATTTAATTGCTCAAATAGCTTTTCTTAAAGATAAATTCTTTCCCAATTTATATTCCAATTACAAAGTTTAAACCATATGGTTTTATTATACTTTCTAAATGTTACACATTTCTGGAAAACACAATTAAGTGCTATGAAACCAAACATTGAGAATTATCCTCAAGTAGCATAAACGTTTTGAAAACTAGTGTACAAAAATAATTGCATAATATTATCCATACCTAAAAATTTAGTTTCTCTTCTGTAGCATGTAATTATTTTTCTTGTTGCCCTCACTCTGATTGGCTCATGATTTATGTTTGTTGCATTTATTGTGATGTGAATTCATCAAGGCCTTTTTCTGCTCTTCCTTCCTTTCCCTTCACAGAGTGCTTTGTGAAATAAAATGTGCTCTATAAATATTTGTCTAATTAAATTGAATTTTACCCCATATAATTAGCAGCATCAAGTGATCCAGCTATGACCTCTGGTAAAGGAAGAAAAAAAGTGTAGGAATCTTAATTTCTCATTATATAAACTTGTACTATGTCTTTAAGAGCTATATGTGGTTACCTCATGGTCATCCTGAGAATAACTGAGCTATTTTAGGTCTTCAAGTTCTTAGAAAAAAAAAATTCCTTAAAATTTTAACAGCCAGTAGATTTTAATCAAATATATCATTGTAAACTTCTTCAGGAATTCCTATGCTGCAGCTGCATAAACATTGCTTTTTCACAATTTAGTCTGCATAACATTTTACTGAATATTATTTTTACTGCTTTAGATGGAAACCATTTTATCTGTGGCCTGACCATCTGTTACTACAGATAGAGTTTACCAGAGAAATGTGTATAAAAATAAAGGAAATTATCACCATGTTAAAGTCCTATTTAAACAGTGTTCACCAAAAGATCAAAAAAGGAAACTATAATCAATGAACTATATTTTTTGTCACAATATTGGGCTGCTTATACTGACTGAAGTGAATTGCTGATGAACATTTCATCCAGTTGTTTGACATCATGCCAATTAGAAACACAGACTTTAAAAAACAATATAATTAGTGTAGACCTATTTCATCACGTATTTTGATGCTGCTTCTGGTATTTGGAAGACCTCCAACTCGTGCAATGGATAGAGGCGTTTCAAAAAACGTCTTTCTAGTTTCGTTGTAGGAAAGTTTTATTGAAAGTCTAAGGTTATTGTGCCTGTTCTCCAAATAACAACTACATAATTTTCAAAGGTTCATGTTGCTACTCTGAGCCTCAGTTTTCTCATCGGACCATCAGGGCTAATCTAATTTATTATGTTTTTGAAAGGAGCCCCCAAAAAACAGCATGTATAAAAGCTCTTTGCAAATGGAATGCAATTTATAAGTACATTATAATCTTAATAACCCTTGTAAGATATTACAGTTATGTTTGTAAATAGCACTGTCACAAAAATCTCAGTCTTATGATAGAAAGTATCTTAGAAATAATATAAACCAAAGTCAGCTGAAGCTCCAATTAAAATCTGGGTTATTGAAACTCAGGAATCAACCTCACATTGGAGAAATTAACCTTAGAGCTCGTGCTCGTCTATTTTTTAAAAACTTAAGATTTTAAGAAAAGTTTAAGGAAAAATGTGTGAAAATGGGAAAAACTTTTTATTTATAAGTTACCTGGTGATATTTAATATTCAGTATGGTAAACAATTTAGTCCTGTCTAACTGAAACCAAGTTTTGTGTTGTACATATATTGGCAGAGTAAAGATTTAAGAGTAGATATTGAACACTTTCAACAATTTGTTATTTCAAGCATATATAGGACTTGTAAAACATACAAAGAAGAGAAAAAAGATAAAAAGTCTATGTAGAAAATAGAATTTTATAACTACATTTTACAGAATATTCCAAGAGATATCATTGGTCATTTTATTATTTTGAAAATATTACTTATTTAAACAACTAAAAAACGTTAAAGCCTGATATAATCTTCAACATTGGAAAGGATAAATTATTGAAAAATATGTAGAACAGAAATTCCATCTCAACGCCATTGATACTACTAAACCGTTGAACAGATATTCTATGAGGTATCGAACATTGCACATAATTACACATTTAGGATTTGACATTGTAGCTAAACCAGTTGTTCAAGGCCACTAAAATACTGAAAGAGGATTAAGATTATTAACAGCAGGGAGGAAAAAAGAACTCTAAAAGCCTTTCTAACTTAAATCTGGAAATGGTGATTTCACTCAAAAAGAATGTCACAACTACGAAGAATTTTCAATAATTCATGACACAAAATAAGACATCCACCTCTAATTTTTTAATCTATTTACCTCTATTCCATGAATCCAAGGGTGAAATTGCACATGTTTTGGACCTGCACAGCAGTGTGGTATTTATTATTGTGATGTCTCAGAACTTGTCCCTTAAGGATTTTATATATGTGGTAAGTACTAGTAAAATTTCACGACTTCTGATCAGAATGCCTTTTAGATTTTATACTAAGTATTATTATGTCTTACTAATACCACACAGTGTCCTTTAAACTCATGTGTTTTACTTGAAAGAAGTGCTGGAAATGTTAGGTATGAGTAATAGTTATTAACTGCTAAAAAGGTAAAATTCAATTGTAGGTGATACTTGTTCAATGAATTGGGAAATTGCTCCTTTTTACTACAGACTCAAAATAAATCTATGGCTCTGATTTCTAAAATACCTATTTTCCCCCCCGATGTTCAGTGACTATTAGAATATATTTCTTTCAATAATTTGCAAGAAGATTAGGAGGAGTGGAAAACCTCAGTACAGTAGAAAGTTGTCCACAAACTTTTGTCTTGGGTCCAGTGGTTGTGTTGGTATTTTATAATGGCAAACTTAAAATAAGTTCATTTTTGGATAATCTAAACAATGTTTGGAGAGCTGGCCTACTGGGTGAGAATACCACTTAAAAGCACTTCTGTTACATAACAGACGCCCATGACAAGGGCTATTTAAAATTCCTAGGTAGAAGAGAGCTGTCAATGCTAAAGGAAAAGCTTTGCTCAAGGAAAGTAACTTTCCTCTGAACAGATGGCGCAGCTGGGATCCAAGGTCATTACATGGTATCTGACCTACTTGAGGCCCGGTCACTTAATGGAGGATTAGACTGACACAGACACAAAGACCAACACACACACACACGCACGCATGCACGCACGCACGCACAGAGTTTTTACCCTCTGGACCACCCAACATGAGATGGAAAAACAAATAAGATGGAAAAGAAACGTTTTCTCAGCACTGATAATTATTAAATGTGCACAATTGTTTTATGCAACAGGAAGTTTGACCAGAATGATGACAGAATCTATATTTAGGATACGTGGCTGCCACTTTGGAGAATTAGAAGAGTGTTTATACATAAATTTTGTTTGAACTCATTTTTATGTAGTAGAATAGACCGTTGTTCAGGAAATAGATAAAAAAAATCTATAACAGTTGAGAAATTTAGTCAGGAAATTGTCAGGAAGGAGAGTGTTGAATAAATTCTTTTCAGCCTTTTCAAAGTTTGCGTAAGTTTATAAAAAGAGATAAAGTTTCTTTGATCAGAAGCAATTCTTTGCAGAAGTGCAGTGTACAACGTACTATATACATATAGGGCTTCCCTCTGTACATATACATATGCATACACTGTCTATATGACTTTTTAAACATATACACAGCTGTAACTCGAAGAAAATGAGTTAGCAACACAGTCATCATTGCAAGACAATCCAAATGCTGAAAGAAGTGATAATGATCACTTAAAGGACTATTTCACCTCCCACATTGCCCAGGACTAAGAATAGAATTCCTTTATAGTTTTTCTTTCATTGCAACACTGATTGTCATAGATAATCTTTGTGCTTATGTATAATGCCCATCCTGGATGTAACATACATTCACATATGACGTCAGACAGTTTAAATAAGCATGCTGAACACAGGCAGGACCATACAATCATGCACAAAATATTCTGAATATGTTTTTCCAAACTGACTGCAACATCAACATGCATCACTATCATATTTGGTCCTGTACAGCAAGGAATGTACAGCTGAAGCCATCATGGCTAGTTTCACTTGCAAGAGTTTCTTTAGAGAAGAACACCCAGTAGAGAAACAAAACAGAATGAATGAAACAAACAAAAAATCTCCCAAAACCAAAAATTAAAAAAAAAAATTTCCTCCCACACGTTAACGCTGAAAATCTGGCCATTTTCCACATAGCACATTTTCCTCATTCCATAGAAAAGAGGTCTTCTCCCAAAATTTGGAGTTGAATTGTTTATAAGAGAGATTTTAGTGTCTCAGAGCTTTTCCTAACCATTGGAAAAGCTCATCTTGATAAAGCATTTTCCAGCGCACGTTGGCTTCGACAGTTTCCACAGCTCTCAAGAAAGAGGCAGCAGCTACTCCATTGTAGTTCTTCATGAAGTTCTTCAGCTGGAAAGAAACATTTTTGAAGGGTAAATATGCATGTCTCACACTCCTGTCAAGCATATATAAGCTAGACTGTATGTGAAACAAAGTGCCACAGTCACTGCAGAAGGCATATTTAATATGGGAAGCAAGCTCACTAACGAAATACAATACCACAAATTGCGTCCATTAGGTGCAAGGTAGTTTCTTTTGGAACTGGAAGGAAAAAAAGAGTAGACATTACAGTTTCAAGAGCTCCAAATTCAGCTTTTTGTTTCATAAGTAAATATTAAAATAGACATATTTATCTTTTCATAATAGGTTGAGGGGACTGTGGCCAAGGCTAGTTCTAATTACAAAGCATATCCAATGTACAGATAGCCTTAAAAACTGAAGATAAGGATTAAAGTTCCCTCTTTGTTGGTAGAGATCCAACTCTTCTTCCTCTTCTCCAAATAAGTAGCATAAGGGCTTGACACTATCTTTGGTAGGAAGGGATTACCAGTTATTGGGTGGTGGAAAGAAAGTAATGATGCTATGAAAACTGGATGATTAATGACATTTCAACTGCCCAAGTGACTCAACTTAGAAAGAATGAAGGAAAGCTAAGCGTGGATTCATTTAGCTAGATACTTTGAGCACTTAATTAAAATAATTTACAATTTTAAAATGCTTTGCTATTATTTTTCTGGATATAAGATTTTCTCTAGAGAGTTTGCATATTCTGGGAATGCTCAGGGATTTTGTTTCAAGATTAAATTTAGCAGTTTTTCTTTCTGACTGTTATGTCTTAAGAAACTGGCAACCAACCAACAATCGCAATGCTAATAGGCAAATGTGAAAAATCAACTTGCAACACAGAAACATTAGTGGTGTAATTAGTGTGGGTGTGATTCATCACATGGTGGGTGCCACATGGAGGATATGCCAGGGGGGAAATGTAGTGCATCCAGATTGACTCAGGAGCAGGGAGTATGAGGGGAGGGGCATTTAAATTGGACTCTTTAATACCTTTCTGAGTTAATCTAGACATTGGTTCATTGGTAGCTTGGTTTGTTTATGACAGTGTTACTTTGATTACATGATACTCATGGGTTTTCTCAAAGTTTTTCCTCTCCTTTTCTATAAAGTCCCATGCCCCCCGCAGCATTATCAATGGATAATTATATCTCAGAGCTATATCCTTTATAAGACTTCAAAATCACTATGCTTTGATAAAACATGTAAAATATCCAATATATAACAAAGATTTATTGATGCTATCCTGAAAAGTGATTTGACATTTTACCAGATTTATACAAACTAAGAGGAAGAAGGGAAGACATGGGAGCTTATTGAATGTCTTCAATATTCCAGGCACTGTGCCACACACATATGCCCGTTACAGGCACAAAGATATTAAAAGGAAGTCTAGTGGAAACACTGAATCATATTTTTAAACTTTAACTGATTAATCCAATAATTCATATATATTTATACGTTTGGACTCATTCATTCTATATTCCTAAAGCAACAAGTAATACATTATGATCTATGTCTTGAATTGTTTTAATACAAAAGTATGGTATCTTACAGCATACGTGTGTATATACATTTGTACATTACAGTGGAATTCTTTACATAATATATGTCAATCAGGAAAAAAATCATATTTACTCCTCTTAAAATATATTCTGCATTATTACATACTTTCCTCGGCAGTACTAAACATGCCAGATAGTGATAAATGACCCTTTGGCAACTTTGACTCTGCAGCATGCTCTTGGCCCCTTGAGGAGAGAGACAGCAAGCCAGCCTGAACACATGAAGCAAAATGCTTAAGTCCTCCTCAAAGGCAAACTATGGGTTTGAATATGAATGTGTTATTGACACAAAGACAGTAGGTCAGATTATCCTGCAAGAGAACCATCAACAACAAAGTAAGTGGTGGGTCCCCAGGGATTCATTTCTTAAATCACTATTTAAGTGCACTAAATACTTGCCTCATGAGCTCAGAGAGCCTGAGGTGACTTGTATGGATCTTGGGAGTAACTTATTCGTCAGAACGTATATGGCCCACTTTCCATAGTTGGCACATATTGATTTTATGCCCAGATTCCTCTGCAGCTCTTCTGTCAAACATGCGGTTAGAGCAGCTATCTAACAGGTCCTGGGGGGTGTGATCATAGCACCTTCCTGACCCCCTGCCTGACTTCAGAGGCCCTGGGTAGATGGAAGGGAATTGGCATTCCAGTTTGCTTATTTCTGCAGCTCTTTGGTAGATTTTCTGCTGTTATTAGCTTTTATTACTGTGTTTCCTAAATATTTATGCCATCTTATGCTTTTATTTGAAAATGTTGCAAGTTTAGACACTTTTATAAAATAGCATTTAGTAAGATGTCAGAGTTGTTTGTGCTTCCTGTTCTTAGCATAAAATTTCTAGACATGTTTGTTAATTTCTCCATTAGAAGACATTTTCAGGTTTAAAAAGAAAACTCTGATTTTAGGGTACCCTAGATCCTAAATATCACAGAATAAATTATTTGTAGAGTAAATGGCAAAACCTAATATACACTCAGTAACCATATAAATGAATTGAATTAGCAATTGCCCTATTATGAGGTTTATATTTTCAACATTAAAACTGTAAATGGGATGTCTGTGATGCACAGGATCTATGTTCCTCCACAACAGGGTTGTAGATTAGGCTCAAGAAGAAAAAAAAAAAAAAAAAAAAACAAGGGCTGGAGAGAATTGCTTAACAGACATTAGTATGAAAAACTGGCAAAGGGCCTCTGCAGCTCCCTCAGGTTGTACTTCCATTAGTTTAAAATTAAGGAAATAACACACTGTTTCATAGAGAAATAGTGTTCAAATGGCTAGAGCCATGTAATTAGAAGGAAATTACCAGTTTCAGGTACTAGAATGCAGTTTCAGGGAAGGGACCCTGCAACAATGGGCTGATGGGGATCATTAACATCTCAACTGAGTTTTCAGAATTGACAAAGATGTTAATTCCCTTTTGATCTATATATACTCTTGAAAATAAGAATATGCCTCCATCCAAAGGGAGCGCATTGGGTTTTCTGCTTGTGAGGCTCATGGTTATAGAAGGATGAATCTGGAATTTCCTCACCCCCTTTATATTAATGGCGGCGGATCCCTTCATGACACGCCCACTTGTACTGACTTTCTAGTTTGACAACTGCCCTCTGAGGCTTTTCCGTACTTTCATTATCGCATCATTGTTTTAACGATTGGGGACCGCTGTTGTGGAGTGGGATGGGAGTTTGCTTTGTATTCCTCACACATGCCACAGAGAGATGGTATTGTGAAGTTAGCCGCTCCGCAGGTAATGGAATAAAAGCCCAGCTCAGTTTCAGGTTTGAAACTGCACTTTTCATTACAAGAACATTTCAAATGACAATTAAATCAAGTGGAAAAATATTAAAAATATGTGTGAAGTAAGTAAGACAAAATGGCAGCATAGGATAAAATCAAATAAATATCCATTTAAAAGATGTTTTCCCAGGGCCTGGGTATACCTGAAGCAAGGAAAGTGTGAAAGATAGACAAGAGTTTGAGGAAGAGGAAAAGGGAGTGGGTACAGGAGAGAGGCAGCAGGAAAGGGGGCAAAGGCAGGGAGAAGACAGGAGAAGGAAGGGAGCTACAAGGGAGGCGGGGAAGGGAAGGGTGGAAGCGATTTTTCACTTCTGTGTTCACTTCAGTGGCTTCACAGGTTGTGACTAAATGAGTCTTTTACTCACTGATTCCTGAATGTAAAATCAAGAAATTAAAAGTACTTCATTTAAATACAGAGAAAATTGGAAGCAATCATTCATTTAATTGTTCTTTCATTCTGTTTCATATGGATATGAAAGAAGTCCTTCTCATTTAGCTTCCTTTATTAAAAAAAATTTAGTAAAGCATGGGCTGGGGCTTTCAGAACCAAATCCTTTCGGGTTGGGAATACACAGCAGGGATAAAAATTGAATTTTAAATCATTGCAATCAGAGACTTAGCTTAGCTCATTCTGTGTAAGAACCCAAGTTAGCGCATGAGAGATGATCATACAACATTGGGCAGTATTAGATGTTAAGGATGGTGCCAGGGTTGATGCTTCCGGGGAAATGCTGCTCAATATGATTAGCTCTGGGTCACAGCCTCAGGCGTTCCGTCAGCGAGAGTGGAGGAAGCCATGATTCTCAAGACCAAATATATAAAATATATTTATAATGGAGTCGAGCAGCAGACAAAAAAGTGATAGATGGTTGAAGCCCAGCTCATCTGAATCACCTAAAAGCATCTATATTTTTTCCTCCCTCCTACATACTTACCCCTCCACATTTCACGCCCATCTCTTTTACAAATGTGAGTTAATGGTCAAAAAAAAATTATTTCCAGAGAAATAAACCAGAGAAAAAACTATTAATCTCATTATATATTGCCAGATACATTCTCTTTCATACATATGAATTCATTCCGTTGAACAGACTAGATAGCATGAAGCATTATCATCACACCTAGTGACCCACTCCCTGTATTGGCCTGATCACGAAGCAAGGAGACTTAAGTTCTATATCTTAACACCAGCCCTGATCTTTTGTACCCAAATACTGAGTCATTGTGACAGGATGGGTCTGTCATTTCTAGGATCCTAAGCTGGGTTCACATCATCAGCTGAGGAGTAGCTGATTGGATCAAAGAGATCTGGAGTGGATTTGAGAATCATTATATTCAAACATCTCTCAAAGGCATTTTATGCTTGTTTGTTTTTTAGATTTTATTTACTTATTTGAGAGAGAGAGCACTCACATGGTCAGAGGGCGAGGGAGAGGGACAAGTAGACTCTGCACTGAGTGCACAGAGCACTAAGAGGGGATCTCAAGACTCAGATCATGACCTGAGCCAAAGCCAAGAGTCAGATGCTCAACCTACTGAGCCACCCAGGAGCCCCAAGGGCATTTAATGTTAAATACAATAGAAATAATTTTGCAAATAATGAATTAAGTCAAGTCTTTAGCATGAACGTGTGTTTTTTTTTAAGAAATGGATATGAATCTGTTGGAAAAAAATAGTTAAAGTGAATGTATAATTTCATATATTTATAAAAGAAAAACATTAGAACTCATATATTAAAATATTTACCTCTTTGAGTTCACCTTCAGTATTAAGAAATTCTGTAACTCCACTAATGAGTTTGGAATTCATAAATAATGCCTCTCCATACCTGAAAAGATAAAAAAAAAAGTCTTGATGTTAATATAGGAAGTAATTTAAGAAATACTACTCTATAGATTTTTTTAGAATCGTTTTCAAGGGCTCCATTTGACCAATGTTATCTTGTTGCCATTAAGATCTCTGAACATTTCAAGGCCATTTCTCCAGGGAGCCAGGGAGGTGCAAAGAGCTGTGACTGCAGAATACCATCAGATGCCCCCTGATTTAGCTCAAAATGCTTGAGAGAGGTCTAAGGTGCAGTAAAAAAAAAAAAAAAAAAAAGGAACCTCTAAAGTTAGATTTAGGAATTACTATTATATTTCCAACCAAGGACTGAGGGAGAAATATTTTAAAACTTTCTACTTTAAACAACTTAGTTCACTATGAGGAAAAAAAATCCCAACAAAGGAAACAGAAGTGTAATACAAACTTGGGCATTATCAGTATGTCAGACAGATCCTTTGGTCTGGTGACTCATAACTGACATTGGCATTCTTTATCATGCTTAGAAACTGAGCCAAATTTCTTTAGAAATGCTCCCCAAATATTAGTATGTTTTCATGTAGGCATTAAATTAAAATATTGAGTTGTTCACTTGGATTGCATAATCCTTGTACCACAGACATAAATTCTTGACTCATGACCCACAGTGAGGAACAATTTGTATCGGTGAGTTGGAGAGGTTTCTCATTTTACTGACTTATCTCTGTAGTGCTAAGGATACCTGTCACAGGCTACCATAACCTTAGAATTAAGAAAAGTACACTAAAAAAGATTCTGAGGTTTTGGAAGCAAAGGCTCAGCCCCCATTATAAGAGGTTTTCTAATGCTGCCCTTACAGTATTGTGGCCCCTTTCTTTTAGGACTTGTTAAATTGACAATATTTCAAGCCTAATTGTTATATATGGCAAGGGGGTACATGTGGTTTTCCAAGTCTCTGGCTTGAGCAATTGGTGGATGGCCATATTATTTACTGGGGAAAGGAAGACAAGAGGATGATGATGGATTTAGCTTTGCAGGTCCACCTCAGTAGGAGGGTCCAAACAGGCAACTGTCCATCATAGGGTGAAGCTTAGACAAAATGTTTGAGTAAGAGATCTAGATTTGGGGGCAACTGAAACGATTGAGTGATTGGAGTAGTTGGCAACTAAAAACAGGGAGAATCTGCAGGCAGGAAATAAGGAGTACCTTGGATAGCACCTCCATGAACTCCAGTGTTCAAGGATTGACAGAGGAGTAGGAGCAGATGAAGAAGACAGTCCTATTTGTCAAGATAAACACTTCCATATCTGTAGATATACTGAAATCTCAACCTTTCTACCTTTCGGATGGAGACCATGGAGTCTCAATAAGACAAAATAAGCATACCAGGAACCAAACATTTTTTGGTTGGAACTAAACTATACCTGCACTATGCTGAACTCTGATAGACAAAACCACTTCCTAAGGAGACTGTGCATTGGCAGATATTTGACACTTTTTTAAAGTGAAATGTTCATATATATTAATTTCACCTGGTATCTGACTATTCACTATATTAGGGGTACATGAGAGCAAAGCAAGTTCTAATCTTCCAATCATTCCAATTTCTGAGCTGCAAATACAAAAAAGCCAATATGTCTTCTAGGAATATCAGTGCTTTCTGACAATGAAATGCCTGTAGATAGAATTGTGCTTTAACAGGACACATCCATTCAAATTGAACCCATTATTCAAGGACGACTGAGAAAGCTATACCTTAAAAACATAAAGTTTACACACCAGGTTTTAAGAGACAGAACAAGAGGTCTGTTCACTGTTTGGGGACATTTAAGTTTGAGAACACGGAGCATCTACAGGCTCTATAATAAATTTAATTTTAAAATGCCATAGAGATTATCAGAGTAATAAATCAACATTCATTATAATACATTTAAATACATAATGAAACATTTTCTTAAATTGAGGCTGAAGAATTCTCACCATGAAACAAGATGTCTCAGGAATGCATTCTATTGCAACTAGAGTTATACAATGATTCAAATGTTCCTTCTCTATATCTTGGTTTTATTTCAGGTGTTTTATATTTATATTTAAAGAAAATTTAAAACAATTCTGCAGAGGTCAAATTTTCTTGTTATATAATATAATAATTATATCTGATTTATAAATCATTTTTTCTACAACACATTTAGAATATAGTTTTAAGATATTTCTTCAACCTTAGACAGCTTAATAGATTTTCCACAAAAGTTGTACTGCTAAAACTTTTTACTCCCACATTTCCATATATAATCACAGTTTTTAATCTTTATTACACGAATAATGTCATAGAATCATTAAAATAATTCTGAGTTTCACAGAAGTGGCAACACCCAACTTGGCTGACTACTTTAAAATCTAATTCTATTATCTGGACCTTGGTTTTAACACAAAAAGTTGGGCCTTTATCTCTCCTATGTCATCTTTAATTTACTCACTCAAGTTTGAATGACTGAACTCTTATTTCTACCTGGTATTTAATATCTTCCATTTATCTCTGAAAAACTTCCAGGCAAGGTCTCGGCCATGTGGATTTCGAGCGACATGGATTATCACATCAATTGCATCTTGATCTAACACCACCTCAGAATTCAGTGATAGATTCAGAAGCCTTTAAGGACAGAATTGTAGAAAAACTTTTAGCCCAATAACTTAAACATTTTTATAAAATTATAAAAATTACATGCATTAATTTGCCATATTCTTTAAAAGAACAGTCCTGTGTAAACTACTAATACAACTTAGCAACAGAACAATTTTCTATTTATAAAAGGAGGAAGAGCAAATTCATAACATTTTAATTAACTCATTAATTAAGTTTTGAAAAAAATCTTGCGGGTGAAGAAATCACAATTTTGTTCTGATGCTATCAACTCACTTTAAAAAAATCTTTATAGTAAACACTTCCTTTTTCAATGAAATATTGTCCTACAATTTAGTGAGAAACAAAGGTACCTCTTTCGATTCAATTAGCTTTAGTCATGTCAACATGGCAGTTTTCCTTAGCTATAGAAGATACATCTTAGAGTAACTAGTATATATTTGAGGAAATAAAATCAAGTTCAGTGTAGTTTGATTAACAGAGAGTACTCTCATTACACAAATAAATTTAGAAAATTAATTGACCCACCTATTTAATAAGTTCCTGTCATCACTGCAAGTTAAGGCTTCCAATAATATTTTCTTCTCAGAAACTGCTGTGGTGGAGTGGAATTTCATCCATATGAATTCCCAGACATCCTCATCTAGTAGTGAAACTCCTGTACAGTAGACGATGTCTCTAACATTCAGTGGTATTCTAAAGAAGCAACCCATGTTGGTTTTCTGTTAATTAAAAGCTTCACAGCATTGAAACTAAAGACAGATGCTGATTTACTACAGTCAGTTTGTTTTTTTTTAATTTTTTTAAAGATTTTATTTATTTGGGAGAGAGAGAGAGAGAGAAACAGCATGAGAGGGGAGAGGGTCAGAGGGAGAAGCAGGCTCCCCGCTGAGCAGGGAGCCTGATGTGAGACTCCATCCCAGGACTCCAGGATCATGACCTGAGCCGAAGGCAGTCACTTAACCAACTGAACCACCCAGGAGCCCCTACAGTCAGTTTTTAAAAAAGATGATTTTGTTGATTAGATTTTACCTGAAAGAGAATAATACTATATAGTAACAATATTAAAAAATACTGGCAATTGAATGATGTAAAATAATGTATTTTGAATGCAAGTTTTATTTCTACTCTTGAAACTATATTTAAAAAATCACGGGACGTCTGGGTGGCTCAGTCAGTTAAGCCTCTGCCTTCAGGGTCCTGGGATCTAGCCCTACATCGGGCTCCCTGCTCAGCTGGGAGCCTGCTTCTCCCTCTGCCTCTGCCGCTCCCCCTGCTTGTGATCTCTCTCTCTCTCCCTCTCTCTCTGTCAAATAAATAAATAAAATCTTTAAAAAAAATCAGAACACAAAGGCTTAAAAAAACAATGCAAACAGGATGCTTTATATTTCTATCAACATTAATACACTTAACAACCAAACATTTTCTCTCATAATTGGCAGACCCAAGAACGACAAGAAAGCACAGGCTGAAGAGACTAATTTGAATAAAACAAACATTTTCTCCTAAAATCATAGACAAGTCTCCCTAAAATTAGTTTTCTCAAATAGGTCTTCACATTTTGGAACCTAGAAGGTTACCGATAGAAATAATAAACAGATAAAACATAAAGTAATAAATTTTGAGAAAGCAGAAATTTCTTTCTCCCTACATTTATAAAAGTGACTATAAAAATAGACCAAATTTGACTTGGACTCCAAAATAAATATTACGGTGGGAAACTGTGAGTGGATTTAATTACTCTCGACTATTTATAAGTTGTAAATGCTCATGTTTACTTCACCATAGCAATTTTTTACTAAATATTGTTCTCTCCAGTCTCAGTATATATCCCACATTTTAAAAACCAAATTCTCCGAAAGAACACTAGAATACTTACAAAAAGTCAAAGAATACATGTCTGCTTTGTGTCATATTCAGTGATCTACTATTTAAATTTCTCACTTATAATTTGAATGTGGCTGATTAAGAGGTGTTTTCTCTGGGTAGCAAGATAAAATAATCTCTTCTAAAGATTTAGGACCTTGATTGATGGTTAAAACACTGCTATGGTTGAAGGGGTATTTAGAAAACAGGAGGAAGTGTCTGAATGACCACCAGTAAGATAAGCTTCATCTCATTCTGTTAAGCAGCTAAGTAGGGCTACACTCAGAATATTGAGGATTGTGTTTCAGGATACCACAATGCTTATATTTGCTAGAAGTATCATACAAAATTAATTGTTCCCAGAAATGCCTAAAACTATATTATTCTGTCTCTTCCTAGAAGTAATTTGGAGTGTTTGGAAAAAAGTTACTTTAACCTTGCTAACTGAAGCCTTTTTTATTTGTGGTATTAGAAGGCAAGCACTCTGTTTGTTTGTTTTGTTTTTAAAGGAACACAGACATCAGAAGAAACCAGCCAAGAACTTCAGAAAACATTGCTACCACGTTCAATCATGGTAGATAGGATACAGGATTACAAATATGCTTCCATCCTTACTAACTATAATAAAAAGTTAAGAAACCTCGTCTTTCTCTAAATCAACAACTAGAAAAAAGGATGAGTCTTTTCTACCAAATATTATAGGCTACAGAGCAAAACACTGTATAATTGTTATGACTTTGGCCAAGAGATCAACAGAAACATTTGCAAGAAAAAACAATAAAATGTCTACTGAAATCATCAGCTCATAAATCAATGTATATTTTCTTTTTTCTCAATATATATTTTCTTAATGTTACACCTAATAGAAAGCCATTAAGCTATTAATATACTAAAGAGAATATAGGGAGAGAGCCCATTGAATTAGGTATTTTACTGCCTATGAAATCCATCTCCAATATCAATGGTTTCAAGTAGAAAAAGCATACAGAAATATAGAAAATGCAAAAAAAAGATATTAACTATATTCCTTAGAAATAACTTGACTGCCATATATCAGAGTCACTAGCAATAGCCCATATTTTGTTATTCAGTAGATGTTGCTGGCTGATGCAGAACTGTGTAAGATGCACATACGAATGAATAAATGGACTGGCCCATCCAAAGCCCTGGGCGCTGGCTAGAGGAGCACGAGAAGCAGGAAATAGCAATTCTGTGCAATACCATGTTCCAGGTTACACATTTTATTTAGTCTATATAATATCATGATATCTGCATTATAAACTTCTTTTTGCAGGAGAGGGAACTCTGTTCTCAGAGAGAATATTTTGCACTATCACCACTATATAGTAAACTGAGATCCAGGATGATCTGTACATGAAAGTCTTTCCCATTTTTATCAGCTTAGAGATGGCTATGACAACAGAAGTATGATACATTGTTTTCTATTAGTGGTAGTCATCAGAGTAATATGGACACATCCAACTTACCATGCTCTCAGTGCTGAACTGGCCACAGGGTCCCGCTAACCTTTTTTTTTAAGTTAATTTTCTAATACACAGTTAAATCAGTCTCTTTGAGAAATATTCAATATGGGCAAGACTGGATTTCCAACAGTAAGTATCCATGGTCCCCACCAGCACTGAAGCGATACTTGTTAAAATGCAGCCTCTGGGCGAGCATAAGGACATAGGTGAGCAGTGTACTTAAGGAACTGCTCTATGGCAATCTGGTCATACATACAGCACAGAGAAAAAAATCTTAAAAGGGCACTCAGTAATAAAGTGCTGGATAAAATGACAGACCCCCCTGAAGGAATCTAGCAAAAGTTATCCTGGGCAAAGGAGGCCTTTAAAAGCAAAGCTGCCCAGAATAGGGGCAGATTCTGGATTTCAAGCTGTAGTCCCAAACCAAGAGAGAGACCCCATAATTTGGATTTGCTCTGCCAGAAGCTGCAGGTCAACTTTTCAGCCTTATCAGCAGCTGTCCCTCTGTGCATAGCAGATGTATCAAATTTGATTACTATAAAAATGAGACACACATATGTTTACATATATAACTTCAAGCCTGTGGATGGGCCATTGAAAAACCGCCCTCGGTCTCAGTTGCAAATCTCCAAACTCTCAGGAAAGAAATAGCTCTATTAGCAGATGCCATGCGAACGTGCTACTTCTGGTTCACAGGCCTCCTTCGAAGGGCAAGGACAGAGCTGATTAACCGGAGAATACCGCTCTGATTTTTCGAGCATCTCTTCCCACGGCATCCACTCCTCAACTTCCTTACCCACCCACCAACTAAGGAGTCAGTGGATAGTTCACAACATTATTGTCCTCATTGCTGAAAATAAAACAAGACTGGTGAGCACTGAATTTGCTAAGGGCCTTGGTTCCCAATGACTTCCATTGTTAATGAAGCCCCTTTTGTTGCTAAATTTGTAAAGATGTTCTAATAACATTTTAGCAAAATGATTGCTCCGGGGACAGTTTAAGATCTCTTTGTACAAACCAAAGTCATTAAGGAACAAATGAAAAAGCTCATTTGTTTGGAAAGCATGGGCTGAAAACCCCATAGAACCCAAGGACCCATAGTTATGAGCAGTACAAATGAGTTTTGTGAGATTCTTGATATCAGGATTACAGGGAGGCATGGCCCCTTCTCATGGACATGGAAGTTGTTTATAAGAATGTGAATATCCCATGGTCATTTCTTTTAAACTGCTGCCTCAGAAATAAATCTTTTAATGGAATTTTATTACCTAGAGAAGGAAAGCTGTGCTTATTTTTCTCTCTGTGTAGTAATCCACATACAGGACCAGGAAGCTAGTCTCTCCTATCCGCCTTCGTAGGAGATGAACGGAGGAATGCTTAGCCAAAAGGAAGTGTCTATCTTCTCGAGGAAAGAAATTTATTTTAGAAAATTATTTGATGCAGAAAATTATTACCTAATTAGTGTAACTTGTACTATAGTTTTTATTCTATTCTCATTTTAAATAGGCTCATGACAAAGTTCATTTGTATGGTAAAAGTTTTGAAAGCAAAACAGTTTCGAAATTGTAAGAGTTGTCATCTTGAAATAATCTATTTTGTATTTTGGTGATATGTTGAACCTTTTTTTACTTTGCCAAAAGCAAATGCATGAAAATGAAATGCTTTCGGGTAGAAGTTAAAAAAATTTAGTAGGTAGAAAAATAGAGGGATTTTAAAAATTTAGAAAAATCTAGAAAATTTTTTTTACTGAGTTAAATAATGATGGTGAAATGGGACTAGTATTTTAAATCTTAGTAAATTGGTATTTTAGTTATTAAATGGAAGTTTGTGAAGTAGGTTGATAAATTAACAGACAAATTTCTGAAGATTTTGCTATAAAAATTTTCTTTGTTGTAGGTGTTTTTTAAGTTAAAAAAATCAGGACACATCTAAAATAACAATAAGGGACCTGTTTAAGATATAAATAGCAACAGAGAATATGTCATAGATTAATATTTAATGATATGATAAAATACATTATTTAATATGATGAACTGTATTATTAAGGATGAACATAACATACATAATACGACTATATTAAGTGAAAAAAATGTGTATATTAGAAAGAAAGACTAAAAGAAAAAACAAGAGAATATTAACATTTGCGTCTGGGTTGAGGGATTACAGTTAACTAGTCTTTCTTTTTTTAATTCACATATTTCAAATTTAATCATTTAATAAATTTGACAATTACTTTGGAAATAAGTAAATGTATAATTACATTTATAAAGACAAAATTCTATTACTATTAGAGTAAAACATATTCCAATATAGAAAAACATTGTTGAATAATATGTAGAAACAATT